CATGCCTGAAGTGCTGTGGAGATGGGTGTGCTGAACTGCTGCCACTCCATGCCCCATGTGGCTTGCCAAAGACAGGCTCCTGGCCCTGTCACCCCTGCTATTGCCTGGGCTGGATGGGTACATTCATGCAGCTCTGCAATGTGAGTGACTGGTTTATAAGAACAGGCACACAGGAGTAAGTTTTTATGGGACAATGCCAGCTTGGCAGCTTAACCATCACTTGGAGCACCCTGTCTGCAAGTTAGCTGTGTCCTAGTTCTGTGTCACTCTATACAGGCCATATAGAAGGGCAAAGTGGGCTTTGTCTGTTTCCAGAGGTGTCTCTGATACAGAGGAGGAGCTGGTAGGAACTGGAAACACAGGTGTGTTTAGATTTCCTTCGTCATGGAAGCATCTTCATGGTCCATGTAGTTACTCTGCAGTAGTTGTCTCTCCCCCTCAGCTCCCAGGGTCACTGTGTGGACAAATATGAAACTGGGGAAGCTCAGTTTGCCACCTGTAAAACCGAGTGAGTTGTCTCTTTGAACAGAACGAAGCCCTGGGCTTGCTTTCATAGGAAAATAGCCCACAATATCTGTTCCTTCCTGCCTGGAAAAAACCCAGTGTACTCTGACGAAAAGCGTAGGCGAAGATGAGCTGCCACCTGCTGGCTCCGTGGGGCTTTGGGCTGGGACTGTCTGCTGGTTCCCTGGGCAGGAGAACACGATCCGTGTACTCCACCCCAGGCTGGAGGCTTGGAGGGCTCAGGTGGGTCTTTGAGAGCTTTCTGCGAAGAAAAGCAGCATTGGGCTGTTCAGCAGAGATATGAGAAGGCATTACAAAAACATCCTAAGGAACCTGCTGGGATTATGGTAATATTTATATTTACTCATTTTTCTCCTGGCTTTGGTGAGTAAAGATAGCTCTTTCAAGTGCAGCACGTTCTTCATAAACATCTCTGTATAATCTGGCACACTGCAAGCTAAAATTGTTGCCATCTTAAGCGTTCCCTAGGGAAATGCTCAGATTAGGCTCCTCCAAGCAGCTGGGATGGTCTGGGGCCCGGACTGGTG